GAGTTTCTTGCATGTGTTTCATTACCCTAACTAGGTAACATCAGCAGTCATTAGCATTGGTGATGTTACCTAGATTGGGTAATAAAACTGCAAGAAAACAAGCTCAGCACCAAAGACTCCTCATGTCAACCCTGAGCTACAAATATTCTCCTTTATTAATATGGCTAGATACCATTAAGCATATATAATTTCTTTCTTTTTGAAAATAATTGTACACCATGTCAAAAGCCTATAAAAAGAGCCTCAGTGTGATATAAATGTTAAGTTCTTTTGGATCAGAACATCGGGTTTCAGATGAGCATTTTTATATTTCAGGCCCCCTGCTACATGATATTTAGCATATTATCATTTGCTTATTGTGATAGGTGTTGCTGTGCTTATGAAAACAATAATTCTATAAGTGAGTCAACTCTCATAATAATCATTAAATAATTATGCCGATTTAAACTAATACAGTCCATGATTACCTGGCTCAGGGACATGCATTTGCCCCGATACTTTTGATAAATTAGAAACGTTCATGATTGGGGGTCTTTAGACCTGCAATCAGTGTCAATGGTATTTTGTTAGATTAGGATCAAGGAGACCCATAGTTATGAAGGTTCCAGTGGTGACTTGCATGCCATTCATTATCTTTCAGCCCAACCCGTTGCTTATAGTTGTTGCTAGGAAAAATGGAATGACCATATACTACCCTATCATGCTGGAAAGGATGTCTATAAATCTACCAATGAAATAAATTCATTTATTTCTTCATCAGTTGGGCCAAATATTTACACTGTTTTGTCTCTTTTGCATGCAGCATTTGTTACTTTAGTCGCCTCTTCTGGAAATGGGATGATGGTAAAATGCACGACTCTCAGAAAAAAGAAGATTCAGAGAAACTATCGAAAGAAACTGTTCTATCCTTCATCAGACAACATTTCACCCTGTGATTACTGTCTCATCACATCTTAGGGTTTGGGGAATGACCCAGGTATGGAATAGTCAGCAGGGAGCTATGGAGAAAAACACTTTTCAAAGTGGTTCGATTGGATGATAAGGACTCAGTCCAAGAGAAATAGAAGAAAGCTTTGGATTGGAAACCATGCAGTATATAAGGACCTGCTTCCTGGCCACATTAAGACTTAAGCAGTGCACGTTCTTCTGAATGGATCATCACTGGATCTTCTAGGGCTTCCCTCCCCCGGACATCTGAGCTCTACTAGTAGGCAACAAAAGAAGAGGATGCACTGAACACGTGGCATTTTGTAAAATGGAAGGCCAGACAACTTTTGACAAAACTATTTAAAGGAGAACAGAAAAATGAATATAGTAATCTTTCTTGTTCCTTTCTCTGTGAATCTACTGGGAAGCATACTTGGTTTTTGTAACTTGGCTTGTAGATGCAGCCTAGAGATTTTTGAGAGTTCAGGTCTAAGCAGGAAGGAACCAGACAAGGTAGAGTTTTTGAATTAGTAATTTAGATATACTTGCTGTCAACATAACTTGTGACTCTCATCAAAGTTGGATTTTCATGCTTCTATGCAAGTAAATATATTAAGCTTTTTCTCACTCTCCACCTTCAAATATGGCAATCCAAGTATTTTCCTCTCTGAATTCTATACCCAGTACTTTCCCTTCAGAAAGTAGATTTGCAATGTAGAGAATTGGCTTTAGAGGAACTATATAAACTAGATCCACTGAAAAAGCTGCATACTTCTAAAGAGAGCATCTTTTGGCCTTCAGAAACTTCAAACTGAACCTTTGCACACATTGGCAGGAAGATATTGACTTTGTAATTGAGTGAGCAGTGCCTTGGTTGTGTCTTAAAAGAAATGTGACTGCCCTGTAAGTGAAGGCATCAGCCAAGTCTCAGCTCCTAAAGAAAATGATCAAAAATGGATTTGATGTGGGAAAGTTTCTCCATAGATTTTCTCCATTAAAGTTGACTAGCACAGGAGACATTTTAAATTCTACACACTGTAGAGATGGACAAAATATGTGAATTCAAGATGTTTTGAAAATGAAAGAATTGTTCTCAGTTTAGAATGGTTGTTCTTACTAGAACTGTTCAAGTCTCAAAACAAATTTTGCTTCAAGTTTGAAATAGTTTTATGCTTATAATGGGATGTTACAGAACACTTTTAGAATGTTTGAAACCAGTTTTGAACTCAAAATATTTTGAATTCAGAATGTTTGCACACTGCCAGTAAATCTTAATCTTAGCTAAAATAAATAGTTCTAGCTTTCAGAGACACTTCAAGAATAGTATAGGTAAATACTGCACTTTAGCAATAGCAGTTAGGTAGTTGAATTTCCATCATCTCATGCCATCTTATTTCTAGATTCCTGTATTGAAAAAAATATCAGGAAGAATGGAAATTTAAAACTCCTGATTTCTCTCAAAGGCTGAAGTATACAAAAGCACTTAATATTGGAGATTCAGTTCTGAGATTTGCTAAATCTTTTTGAGAATTCCAAAACAAAGATTTAGCTTTTAAGATTCTTTTGGGAAGAATGGGCCATGTTTCAAAACAAATTGCCTTCCCATACAATTGTTTGCCTCAGCAGACTAGAGGGTAAAACAGCAAATTGAGTGTTTATTTGCAATAGGAAGTGACAACGGTTAAATAATCTCTGACATCTACAGTTCAGTGTTGGTTTTAAAATAATTTGATGACTTTGTCACTTTTCCCCTAACTATCATGATGCAACTAGTAGGTCAAAGAGTCATTTTGTTTTAAGTACAACAGATGTTATCAATTTTTCAGGTTATATTTCTAGTTAAGCTTTTTGCAAGTTATATTTCAGAAGGAAGATTTCATTGCAAGATTGATTTTAGTTTGTTATTAAAGAGTGATTGGTAGATTAGTTTGTATATGGAGTCTCAGTGGTACACAGATTATCTGCCTTCACTTTATTCACTTTGGCTGTAACTAGAGGCCCTGGTTTGTGGCCTTCTCCTAGGAAAACTATTTAAGGGATTTAAAAATCTTACAAGAGTGTGTGCCTAGAAACCTTAAAACAAAATTTATACCAGTCCTGAAAAATGACTTCATGTTCATTCAGAGCCCAAATGTCCAGAATACAAAGAGAAAATTAGAAAGATTTGATCAGTGGATAATTCAACTTGTTCTTGTTTGTTCTCTTACTGGTCTGTGAAGGGTTGAGGTGAGGGGAAGGAGATAAAAATGTCTTGCTGAAAGAAATGTTTACAGTGTGTATTCTCTGAACTCATGTATCAGTTGTGATGATTTCTTGTCCATTCTTTGCATTGCCAATACAATCCTTATTTAGAAATGTGTTTTCTTTTTGGCTTAAACATTCCAGCTCTTTGTGATACATCCTTGGCTGAGGAAGAACAGGTTTTGGCACCACTTGACTCTGGAGCTCACTGAGTGACTTTACGTCTGCCACTGTTTTAGGCCAACCTGCTTCATAGGGTAGATCTGGGGATAACATTAGGAAACAGAAAAATTGTTTTAAAAGCTTAAATTTGGGGCAAAATATATGTGTTTCCCTTATAGAGCCAAAACCCCATCAGAAAATAGGCAGCTTCTCTGTAACATCACTGGAGTATTTCAATCTGTAGTAGTCAAATTTTAGGAAATACAGTTGATAGAAGACTATAGAAAATAGGCCATTTTTTATTTGCAATATATAAATACATCAACATAGTTTTCCTATCTATAATTTGTTGAGTGATTGCAGAAAAGAGACATATTCGTGAATTGTCCCAAAGGGGACTGTTTTACAAAATTAGAACATATTTTTTTATTTTTGTGGAAATCGGAGTATACAGTTGGAATATACAGAGATTTGAAATAAATGCCCACTGCACTATGAGCAAAGCAGCTCTCCTCAAAGCTTTGAATTACCATGTCCTTCGGAAGCCTCACATGACTCCTTAAAAGTTATCTGAAGGTCTGTTTATGCACAGCCACTTGGGCCTGCGTGCAGAATAATTGAAGAATAGGGCAGCTTTTTTAGCACTTCAAGCATGGACAGACTTTCTGAAATAGTTCTTTCGCTTTGTGCAACTCTTTTGATATTTAAGTAAACTTTTTGGATTTTATCTTCAAAATGCTTGATTACATTGTTAGGCTGCTTGAAGAGTGATAGTGAACTTTGATGAATTGATGACTCTTTAAAGCTGTGGTATCTTTTTAAGGTTTAAACAGAAGATTGAAAAATAGGCTGCTTTAATATACAGAGAAGGGCTCAGATCATGTCAGGTCTGAAGCACTTTTTTAAAGTCATTTCTAAAATGTGCAGTCCTAAACATTTAAATTATGTTAAAGAAAAAGGATTTAAACAGACACACACAGGCAATTTATTTATTTGCAAGGAAGTAAGAATAGAATTTGTTTTCTTACTGAAAACAACAAAGTTCAAAGGTGATTTATATACTTTTCTGGGATAGAGAGATGTAACTAAATCACAGACACAAAAGGAGGGAGTCATGGTTATATTGCTAAAGCAGAAAACAAAAGGAACGAGGTTTGAGCGCATTTTTGAAGCAGAAACTAAAAGGAGTGTATTTCCAAAGCAAAACAAAGCAGCTTGACAGCATTAGATGCCTTCTTCCTTGAACAACTGAGGTGCTAATAGGTACTGCTAATAGGTACTGAACTTGAGGCATTGTTGCAGTCAGGAAAATGTCAAGTCAATTAACTGTAGCATGGTGAAAAACTTAAAAGTCAAGAAAGGAAGGAGAATTACAAAGCATTCCTGATAAAGAATTGATGAGACCTGACCGGGGAGAATGGAAAGGAAAAAAGGGGTTTTTTGGGAAAAGGGAAGCACATATATTGTTAAATTTCTGCATTTTATTTCAGTTCAAAATGCAAATACTAATAATCACTTGGATTGATGGTATAGGCAAAATTATATAGTAACTTCTTCCCTTAAAAAATTAATACAGTTTGATAAAAGTACTCAACTGGCTCACAAAATACAATTAGTAGCCAGCTGGCTTACAAAACGATGTGAATTAAAAACATTTTTAACATGACTAAAAGGACTTAATGAAAGACATAGAAGCCTCTATAAAGATATATTGCCTGCCATTAAAAAAAAATACAGTGGCCCCAGCTCAGTCTCTGAAGGCTATTCTACAATCAGGGTGCAACTAACCTGCCCCTCGTAATCCCGTTGCCTAGCCATCAGCTGGAAGGTCCAACTCAGCCCGCCCTTTGTCCTTGGTTAATTTTCTATTGAAGTTCTTTGTGAGGACTATCCTAAGATGGTCCAAGTTGCAGAGCAAGTTGGTATGGAAAGCTGATCTTACCCTTGGCACACATTTGGGAAGAGGTAGAATCATCACCGTCTAAAGTAATTAGATTTCAGCACCTAAATGTTACATGGTCCAGCAGGTGTAAATAACAAACACTAAGAGTATGATGGCTGCTGAAAGCGCTACAGTCTTCCGATTCTCATGACGAAGCATTTTGAGCTCTTTCTCTGGGGAGGGAAAAAAGTAGCACATTGTAAAGATATTACAGACTTCTCAAAATAAAATGTAATTTGTTTCAAATATTAAGGTTCTCTGTCTTAAGCCTTTTGCAGTATTACTAAACTGGATAACATTAGGATTTTAGGTGTTAAGCTCCATATAGCAGGACAATAAAAGAGGCATGATTTTGGGGGGAGAGAGAAAGTTACCTCATCAGCTGCAGTTGTAGAACTTGGAGAACAAAGGCCATTTAAACATTTCTTAAGTAACAAGTTTCACTTGTCTTTGGAGTATCATTAATGTTCTATTCTTTCTCCATATTATAATTTCCTATTATAGTTTTCTTTTTCTGTCATGTATTCTGCACATGGGTAAATTTTCCATGGCACTTGACTTATAACAACATGAATAGGGCTCAGCATGAAATCTAGAGTCTTATTCTAAATATTGTGAGCTTTTAGTTTATTATGTACTGTGTGTCTGACTGGTATCTTACTGCTCTCAAAAGATGAACAAGGTTAATCAACTGTATTTCATGAAAGGAAATCTCAAGATGTTCAAAGTATCTTTATATAATTAAAGCTGGAATACTGACAATACATTTAGCTTGTGGCTTCTGCTTAATGCTTTTAAGATTAAGTAGAGAACAGGTTTTTTTTAAAAAAATAAAATGTATTTTAATTTAAGCCATTACATGATTTAAAAAAGACGATTGATGGTAGGATTACTCTGGTTTACACAGAATATGTCTTTACATATTCACAGGGTTGAAATTTCAAACGGTTGAAATGTATTTTTTAGGGCAGCAACTTAGGGGATAGGAGTAGAATAACAAATGATTAAGGTGACCCCCCTCAAATTTAAAGCATTTAAACCTTTGAGCAAAGCGTTTTAGGGTTACCACTAGAATGGCATGAAACACCTAAAGACTTAACAATTAAACATGATTTTTGACCTCATTCCTACATCAGCATTTTACCTACTTATATGCCACAAAATATCTTGAGTAGGAAGGAAAAAGTTACTTCAAAAGGAATTATTGTAGGGAGGTGGTTGATTGAATTGTGCAGGCTGATCTATATAATCTAGGTTATGAGGGCTTGCCAAAGGGGTAAAAGAAATCCCACTTTATAATAATGGTGCTAGATTCCATCCTGTATATTCAGAGTTCCTCAGAGGAAGGGTGACATACAAATGTAATAAAAAAGCTACTTTAAAATGAAGTCAAAGGCTATTCTACTTCTGCACTATATCGTTTTCATATATCTATTTTCTGCTGTTATATAGCAATCAAGCCCATTCAGAGCCCATTTCAGTGCTTTTGTAATTTCTGGGAGAGGTCAGAGTTTGGGGATGGCTTATTTGACAACAGAATCATTGTTACTGACTGCACTGGCAGAAGAGGTCAGTGCGGTTCAACCTGGGACTGCCAGAGGAGTATGATTTTAATGGGAAGTCTTGGGTGTTAATATAACAGCTCAGGCAGATGTCCCTTTGTATTTGCCAGCTCCTTAAGGGAGGTAGCTTTAGTGAGAGGAGCTCAGTGCATTAAAACATGGGCAAAAGGTCTCTAGCCCTTGGCTGAATGGCAGCTCCAGATTTATTATGGGATGCTTTCTCCTTGTTCTCCAAAGCTTTTGAATGCTGACTCTTTCACAATGTAGTATTGATTGTGGCCATGAAAATACTGCAAATTAATTGTTAGGGGGAAAAACCGAATCCCGAACCATACCTAGGTGATATTGCAGCAAGGAGGTTATTAATGTTCTTTGTGGTTTTTTTAAAGCATTCATACAGTATATATTTACTATTAATTGAGTAGCTTCAGCATGGACCCAGGGCTATTTGCCTTCCTAACTAGTAAGTTCCACAGATGAGCAAAAAGGGACAAAGTTACCTATAAAACAAGCAGTGCAAAGAAAGCAAAGGAAAGCATAGGAAAGATTAAGTATTTATTTTGGAAATTTACAGAAATCCAAGGAAGCTTTTATTTAATATGGGCATGATAAAAAACAAAGATCACAAAATTGTACTGTAAATGAACTTAGAACCATGAATATGTGGAACGATGGTAAAAAAAGATTTTAAAAAGTACAGTTCAACTACTGTTAGAAAATCTTGAATGTAAAGTTAATTGGGCCCTAGAAAATAATTGCTAACGACCATTACCATGTAGTTGTCTGAAATCATACACAAGATGAGGCAGACAAAATGCCCCATATTTTGTAATTCAGATTTTTAATCACTAATGAATTTTCATGGAGACTACAGACACTTACAAATATGGATGCTATTTTCAGATTATAAAATGTAATCTTATGTATTGAAAAAGATTTTGAAATACAGAATGTGAAAAATATAGTGAAATTTTCAATATTCCAGCAGGTGGCAGTACAACCTAAATAGCCAAGGAGAGATTGTAGGAAAACACAATTATCCATTAGGACCTTTCCATACAGGCAAAGAATAGCAAGAATTAAGGCAGTATTTACTCTGTCAAAGGTACTAGCCCAGTGCTGCATCTATGGAGGAGCAAAACAACAAAACAAAACAATAGGTCTGGAAACTAATTTGCTGCTTCTGATGTTTTTTTATTTTTTTAAACACACTCATTTTTCTTTGCCTAATTTTCAATACTTGGGTCACTGGGAAAATGCAGCTGTTGCTCAATTAGCATTTTACAATTAAATTTGCTGATTTACCATGATAAACATCTGACCAATACAGTCCGTGTGCTCGCGTGTGTGTATACACGAACACAAGTTAAAAAATGGCTTAACCTTTCGAGTGTTCTTTCCAGCTGTAGGCAATGTTAACTAGTCTGTGCCCTTCTGAAATGCAAAAAAAGAAAAACCAATTCCTGGCATGATGACGCCTTGTGTCAGCGCTCTTCCCCACGAATGCCTTTGAACTGAATTCTGGACTCCAATGCTGTTCTTTGAAAATTTCCTGCTACAGAGAAACACTTTGGAAGAAGGGAGATATTTTGATTCTTCACAGCAACTACTGACTGTGAATTCCTTTGCAGGAGTTCTGAGACTTTTCAGTTTCGTCCCAATTAGGCTGTATTGACTTTATCTTTGTGCTGCTTGCTGCTGTCGCAGCCAATTACTCAACTCTGTCTCCAATCACCTTTTGATCCTAAGATATTGTGCTCCTTTCTGGGGTAGGAGATTTTAAGACAGAGTCTTGATACAAACTAAAGTTTTAGTTTAGCCAGGTGCTGGGAACCTACAGCCCTCCTGAATGCAACTGAAGTAGAGCTCTCAGCAATGCCATACAGCGTGCCAATGATGAGGAATGCACTAAATTACATTTACCCAACCTGTAAAAGGTAGCTCCTCTTCAACCAAAAAGATTTACCCTAATGACTTCTTTTCTATCCAGAGTCTCCACAAATGAAAACATGAACACAATTTTGGAAGAGTCGTGCCCTTATTTTATCAGAAGACTATTCTAGTTATGCTTTTTAATGTTTTATGCAGAACCTAACGTAAGCGCCACAGGGCATCCTGTCACCATAGGGCATCCAGAATTGGGAAGACTCATCACTGCTTCTATTTATAGTCCTTTATGCTGGACAAATCAAAGGTGACAGAAGTGTATCCTGTACAAACCAGATATCACTAAACAACCATTTTTCCTTTTGTTGAACAAAAGGAGTGCCAAGATATGATAAGACTATTTTGTACTCTCTTTAGTATAAAGAAGACCTAATGCAGGATTTCTTTGCAGTGAACATAATTTAGCTTCTGAAGATAGTCTATAGCCTGTTTTCTCAAGATAGGTTAATGCCCTTAACTTGTAGAAAGCTTTATTAAAATCAACAATTCTCTTCAGTTGTATTTTTAGAGCACATGTACTTATTTCTGATATGGAACTAAAATCACTTCACTACAGAAGAGGTCACGTACATCTGGTGGCACATATTATTTCAGATATTGAAGTGTCAAATTAAATTTGTCCTGCACAACTACTCAGAAATGCATTTTAAGTCTGCCCTGGAGCAGTGTAAAAAAAGGGAAGAACCAAATAAACGAGACAGATAAAAAGCACCTGTTTCAAATATCATAACACTTAATATCCAAGTATCTAAGTACCATTTAATTTCAGTAGCTTGGTCATTTTCAAATCTATAGTAGGAGGGTTTATACCTGTTCAGACAGCTGTAAGAAGTATTGGAAAGTGCTTGGCCCATTTGTCTATGTAGCACTTTGTTAGGTATATAGGTGGAGATGAGGAGTCTTTTCTCTGCTATAGCTGGTGTGCCAGTTCTTTCTGGAGCATGAGGCACAGGCAGGCAATATCTGGAGGCTATTATCACCTTTCCAGTTTAATGTTGCCTGGAGCTGCTTTTGAAGGCCACCTGGAAGCTGTAATTAATGCAAAATGCAAGTCCCACATCCTGCTGGATGACAGCCTTCGGTGCTGCATACAGAAGCATTGAGGTTTTGTGGGCACTGCAATGGCTCCAATGTGCTTCAGAGTATTGGTTTTAAACCCTGCCGATCTTTCTGGCTTAGCACCTGCAGGGCCTTCAGATATATTTGTCTTGAGCTGGGATATTGAGGGCCCTCTCCCCTCCCCATGAGATGTGGGGAGGGCAAGAGCATGGTGTTTATCAGTATTCCATTCCTATTAAACACTCTATTCATAGAGACACTGATGGCATTCTTTCTGATTATATTTAAAAGCACGGTCAAAACAGTCTATATGGAGATATTTTAATAAGTAATTTTAAGTGATATTACTGAGGATTTTCAAACAAATGGTGATCATTTGTTGGAATACTGGGACAGATTTTGTAGCTTGTTTTTTGTGATTATAAATTGTGTGTGTATTCTTGTAAGCCTTTGAAAGTCCATAGAGACTCACTAGTATACAAATAAGAACAGATGATCTCTCAATTCTGCTACTGGGACACAAAACATAGTGTTTTCTCTTTAAAGAAATCCAAACGAGAAAGAAATCGCTTCACGTCTCAATCTTAGTAGTACTGAGAAGTCAATTTTCTAAATTAGGAGATATGCATTTTATTTATATTTATTTAAATTATTAGTTTTGTACATTGCTCTGGATAGAAAGACAATCAAATTTAAAATGTAATAAAGCCATTTTTAAATAACATTGATGCTCCTGACTTTTAACACTTATAATGGCTCATTGTAAATAAAACAGACTTACACTCTGCCTAAATTAAAATGAGCTTGAATTTCTTGGCAAGGGAGTCTCATAGGTAGAACAATGCTGTAGAAAAGGTTCTAGATCACAGTATCAAACTTGATCGTGTCACATATCATATTGTGACTTTTTTTGCCCTTGCAGAGCCAGGGTGGGCGTGGCCTACGCAAGATGCATCTTGCCTGCGGGCCGCCAGTTTGACAGGCCTTTCCCAAATCAAGAATCTACTCTTAATGTTGGGACACACAGCATGGCCAGTGAATATCAGAGGTTACGTAGGTATTTCAGTTACAGCAACTTATAACAGTTGTTTTCTGCGAGAACAGGCAGAAACCACAAACTGTCTTCTCTCCCTTCTTCACTGACTTGTGCTATATATGCTGACAAACCTCCTTATCTGCCTCTGCACCTACGAATTAAATGGAGGGACTTCTTGAACCTTCCAAATGTGTAAAAAAAACCATTTTAATGGTCTCTTCTGCACCTTTCTGGATTGTAGTTTTTATTTACTTGCCGTTCTTTTTTGAAAATTTAGCTACGCAGAAGTGTAGCCAGTCAGATATATGACCACTGTCACAAAATGTGAGGTTTCTAATGTATCAAGGAATTTGTAAACTGTTCAAAACACATTTATACTATTACTATTAAAAAACCTCTGTTTCCATCTCAGGCAACTTTGAATGATTTTTTTTTAGTTTCAGAGGAAATTACCTTAATGACTTGGCATCCTCCAGTAATTCTTGGCTAGGAATTTTGGTGGGTGACATCCATGCTATCTGAAGAACACCATAATATGAAAACTTACTGCATACATGTCTTACCATAAATTTCGGCCTTTGTTTCTAGCATGTTTTTTTCTTTTTCCAGTGATTCTCTGCAAGGAAATGGGAAAGACAGATACTTATTAAAAAAATAAAGGTTTCTGGGCCCACAAAGATCTAGTTAGCTTCTATAATGGCAGACGAGATGACAACCTACTTATGTTACTTCAGTTTTCTGGAAGATGGTCATTTGAACATCATAAGTGTTCCTTTGAACATGCCTGCATTTTGCTATGTTAATATTCCTGCACACATTTTTTTTAAAAAATAAGTCTTGTGTTTCCTTCTCTGATTTGGAAGTGACATAATTGACTTGTGAATTGTTAAAGTATGTGCTATATGTAACAATTAAACTCTAGTTCGTTCATCTCCTTAAAAGAGTTTTTACAAAGCCATGGAAATGGGACAATGAAATTCTCTTGGGACAATGAAATTCTTAAAAAAATGGTCCTGTTCTCTCATTTTTAAACTCTTGGCTGCTTTTACAACATGTAAAATTAAACTTGTAATTTTTGTGCATGTTAGTAAGATGCTACACATATTTTAATTTTGCTTCATTTTTATAAAACTTGTAGCTAAGTAAAAAATTCAATTTCAAAAAAGAAGGAATAAATCTTTATATTGTTAGCAGAAAATTAATCCATAGTTTAAAGTATGAGAACAAAACAAAAATCTGAAAATAGTATCTCTAGCAACAGTTCCATTACAATATAGAAAACACATTATAACACAGAAAACACAGCAGCACTGGTGTAGTTGGAAATAAATATACACTAGCTATTTGTTTGCCAGTTCCAAATAAGCTCTCTAGTATAGTTAGGAAAGGCAGTAAGCACAATAAAGTTTGTCCCTAGAGAATAAAACAAGAGCCAGAGTGAAAATGGTGCCAAACTAGATTACAGAGTGAATTAGGGGCAGAGCGCAGGATAAAGTTATATTGGGAAAGCAAAAGCAGGGCTCTTAGAAGTGAAGCTCAAGAAACAAAGCAGACAGATTCAGACAATTCTAGAATTACTAAGTGTCTAATATAAATATATCTATATATATATAAATCTTAAGATGAAAAGTAATTTGAGAATTAGAATGAACCCCAATTTTGTAATCCATATGCCTTCTAAAGTGGGTGTCATAGGAGGATTAAATTACTTGTGATGGCTGTGACTGTTTTCAGTATCACCAAATGCCCCTGAATAAAATTGTTGAGGAAGACTAATTCTGTAACTTTCCCACAATCAGGAAAAAGGAGATCAGAATAAAGCCTTTAGTCCAATCCCACAGAATATTTCATCATGGTGCAGCTACCTCTCAATGTTTGCTACTGCCAAAAGCCTTCATCTATTCTGAGATCTGAATGATAATGGGCAATTTCATCCTGTCACATCCTTTAATGTCAATACTTTGTGGAGAGGAAGCCCACGGTGCCAGCAGCTGTTTCCTTGCCCTAATATAAGAAATGACACCAGAAAGTGACTCTGAGGTGACAAGATGCTACTGGTACAATAAAAAGCCAGGGAATAACTACGAACAGAATAGCTTCTGCTTGGACTGACAGGACTTTAAATCTCTAAAATTACTGAGGACCAATTAATTTACTTTTATTGCTTTTCTTCTTTAAAAGTAGCATAAACTTCAATGAAGCATTTGTTCAGTTTTTGGGCACTTTAGGACAGATATATTGTAAATAAATTGGCACAGGTTCAGGGGAAGGTAACAGACATGGTAAAAAAATTATGCCTAAATAGAAAAGGAGTAATTGGGCTTGTTTATTTAGGTGAATAGGAACCTCAATAAGCAATCTCTAGACACCTTATATGGAGGAAAGGAAAATTGTTTTCTGATTTAGAAGGCAAAATTATGCCTAGTGGGCTTTAAGTATAGGAAGGTTAATTTGGGGGGAATGTCAGGGGAATTTTTATACAAATAAAAGATTTTAGAAAAGGAAAAATATATGTCAGGGAAGTTCTAGCTTTGGATTATTTCCCTTTAACTCTATGGTTTATGTAACATAATCAAGTTTTATTACACTTAGAGGAAATGAAGTGCTGCAAAATTTGAAATTCTAGGCAGCTGAAGGGCAGAAGCCATTTTAAATGACTTCCAAGTATTAATGGGAAGAAAACATCTCTGCAGCAGAAAGATGGTTTCCAAAGGGAATTGTGAGGGAAAAAGTAGCCTGGCTGAAAGTGCTCCTCTGCATTGAAAAGAGCAGTACTAAAGTAGCCCACGCCTGACCTTCCCAAAGCTGAATTGCGCTAATTTCTCCCTCCCTCCTCATACCCCTCAGGAGAAAAAGATGTCAGTATTATTATGTCCTGGCTTTTCCAGAAAGCCAAATGAAGGAGCTTTGCTGGTGAACTAACTGGCAAAAGCCCATTCACAAGCATTCATTAACTGTATCTCAGCTTTTTCAAGAATAGACTGACGTCCCTAATCAACAAGGTTACTTCCATCTTGCCCCACCTATACCTTCAGCACAGAAAAAGGAAAGTTAACCTACAGATTATATGGGTCAGAGGGACAAGAGAAGGAAGGATGGCAATGGGATAAGGAACTGGGAAGCAACAGCTGGGCAACTTCAGCAACACCAAGCGATAACTGACATCCAGCTGCATAGGACCAACAGCCACAATAAGATCCCAACTTAGAGCTTAGTCTGGCAGTGCAGCTCGATGCTCTGCTCTCAGTTTGGTCCCAAGCTTGGCAACAACTTTGCTCTGCAACTTGATATACTCAAGGAACAACCAAGCTGAAGCTGCACAAAATCTCCAGTGTGTGCAAAAAATTGTAGCGGGAGACAAAGATTGTATCCCATTTTAACCTATGAGAAGGTACAAAGGCAGAGTACATTAAGATCTGGTTATCAGCTCATTAGAATTTGGAGGGCAAAGTGAACAGTATACAGCCAGAGTAGAAATCTTGCATTGGGAATTGACTGTATTGACTGTTTCGTAGTATGATTTGATTGCTTATTTGTACCCTATGACTATATTAAATGTTGTATCTTATGATTCTTGACGAATGAATCTTTTCTTTTTATGTACACTGAGAGCATATGCACCAAGACAAATTCCTTGTGTGTCTAATCACACTTGGCCAATAAAGAATTCATTCATTCATTGGGATTGTGTGGAATATAATACAATGTTGTGTAAACCTGTGAAGTCTCCAGTCATAACAAAATCAATCTCGACAGAAACATTTAAACGACCTATCAGAAATTCAAAGTATAAAGCAACATTTCCCAATAAAGAGGATTCAATGAAGTATTTCTGCCTCTTCTCTATATTCAATATACTCATTTTAAAAAGAAATGAGAAGCTCATTTTTATCTCTGCTTGATCCAGAATAGCACACAATAATCAAACCAATATATTGCAAGAGCCACAGATACAAGCAGCTAGAAGACACCCAAGACAAGTTCTACTAGGCAGTACCTTCGTGCAGATGTTAGTTCTTTTCTGCGTAGCTTAAAATCCACCTCTTCCAAGGCTTGCCTGCAAAGCGTCAACTTGTCTTCTAGGCTCTCTACCTAAAATACATTCGACAAGCAGGAATGACAAAGTGTTTATTTCACTGATGTCCATTCTATTAAGCAGCAACACTTGACCAGAGTGACCTTCAAATTTTCTGGGCAAAACAGACAAAGCCTCTGGATTGAAACCATCATCCTTACCAATAAGCAGAGAACACTGAGTGACTTTCTGTTCTACCACCTCTATGTCAAAGAGCACTTCCCATGTTTATTATTAAGTTGATTCATTCGTGTGGGGTAATTTTATTAAAATTAAAAATTCTGTGAAACATTCCAGAGATATAACATCTGATTTTCACAGATGGGAAAATGTGACAGAAACAAACAAAAATACTGGTTATAGGTAGTCCTTGCAACCATTTGTTTAATTACTGTGTAATTAAGTTACGACAGCTCTCAAAAAAGTGATGTACAATCATTCCTTGCACTTATGACCATCACAGCATCCTCATGATAATATGATCAAAGTTTGTGGCCTTGGCAACCAGCATGTATTTGACAGTTGCAGCATCCTGTAGTCATGTGATTGTCATTTGTGACCTTCCCAGATCTGACAAGCAAAGGCAACGGGGTAGCCAGATTTGCTTAACGATCACAAGATTGACTTAACAGCAGTGATCTGCTTAACCATGGCAAAAAGGTCATAAAATTGGGCATGGCTCATTTAACAACCACTTCACTTAGCAACAAGAAATTCTGGTCTCAAATGGTCATAATGGAAGACTTGGCAGTGTTTAAATAAGTTCAGTTGGTTTTCTAGTGGAACTCCACTATGACTGCAAAGTCAGACTGGGATCAATCCAGCATCAATGTTATGATTTCAACCCCTGAAATTAAACATTCCAAGAGTCACTGACTGAAATTAAATTTGGGACAAATTTCAAATAGAATTAAGCTGGGGTTAACATTAAACTGTCCAGTTCTCCAGCTTTAGTTTTATATACCAGTAACCGAATAATTTCTTCTTCTGACTAAATTATCAGGTAATTCAAGTTTGAGCATTGGATGCCTCTCCAGTAACTGTTTAGTCCAATTCCTCATGAATAATAAGCTATTTGATCAGAAATTTATGGAAATTGTGAATCAAAAAATATAGAAATTTGGCATATAAAGCAAGCAAGGTCACACATTACTAGTTCTAAGTAATGAACTAGTAATATGTGATTAGTTAGTAATGAGCTAACTAATAAAGGCTAAATTGCTAAAGGCTAAATAAGATGGGAAAAAGGGTTCCAGTGTTCTAATGACTTTGTGTAGAGACTGCCGAGTTCCTATTGCCATTAACTATGGAAATAATAAATGATATAATTACTTAGAGAAAGTGGTACAAGATCAGTAATCTTTTCAGGAAAGTTACATACAGGTAGTCCTTGACTTACAACCACAATAGAAAACAGAATTTCCTTTGTTAAGCAAGGTGGTTGTTAAGTGAATTGAACCTAATTTTATCACCTTTTTTGTCATGGTTATTAAGTGAATTGCACAGTTAAATAAATCTGGCTTTTCCATTGACTTTGCTTGTCAGAAGCTGGATTGCAAATGATCATGTGACTGCAACTATGGTACATTCATGCTGGTTGCCAAGTGCCTGAATTTTGATCAGATAATCATAGAGAAGTTGTGGCAGTCATAAATGCGAGGACTGGTTGTAAATCATTCCTTCGGCACAGTTGTTAATTTGAGCAGTTGCTACATGGTGGCAAGTCAAGGACTACCTATAGGTGCTACAAATCCTCTCAAATTTGGAAATCAAATCTCAGGGCCAAAAAGAATATTTGCATTCCAAGGACTATTTTACATAATGCATATCTACAGTTATGAAAACAGAGAAAACTATTCTTTCAGATAAGTCTTAATCTGGGTAAGAGTATTAAAGCATAAAATAATGCATAGCTGATATGGATGCACATCTGGATCTCCACCAGTTCTTCACTTCTGCTCTCCAGATGTTTGGGGATTAAAACACTCAGAACAATTTGTGCATTCAGCTTCTCAGTCCACAATTTTTGGAGCAAAATAAATACTTCTGCTTCTTGAAGCTGATAATATGTGCATATTTTCCTACAAGGAAATAATTTATAAGAAAACTCCCATGATATTGTTGTTACATGTTACAATATATATGTATGGAATATAACATATTCATTAAATAACATACAGGCGGACCAACCTGTGATTGTTGATATACTTTTTCTGTTCAACTGCTTGGACTTTTTTCCCCACTGAAATAAGATATCACCTTTACTGCTTTTTTACATCTTCAGGCAGCCATGTCTTCAAAATAAAAAGCTGACATTGGAAGAGGCCCAGGGACTTGCCCCAGGTGGAGCAGGCAAATTAACTTGGGCAATTCTATGTCTCAAGTGGATACTTTTAACTGCTGTGATCATCTTGTATTCAGCTGGAGTTGTGGCAGGAAGCAACTGCTGGCTGCTTAAGATAGTCATCTAATTAGTCTGCTAATTTATTTTTCAGTAAAGTGGAAAGACAAGAGAGGGAGAGGAACAGCTGAAGCAGGCTGCATAGGCAATCAAGGTTTTGAAGAGGGAAAGAATGTTTCAGAACAGAAGTCACGCCAAAGGGAAAAGGGCTCTAGGGACTCTCATTGGTTTGGAGCCCAAGGTAAACCACCGTTTTTGTAATTCTGGGTACAAAAAAATATGGTCTTTGCTAGCAAGAAGACTATCGACTTTCAAACTACTGTCCATCTAGCCACGCAGAGCGCACACATTCAGACAAATGTTTTGCTCTTTCTCTTTTTTTATTTAGTTCTGTGCTCTGCGCTATAGTCTGAAAACTGGATGTGTTCTCTCTCCAGAAACTAGTCCCTTCCTTTGCAGGAGGAATAGAAAGAGCCCTTGGCATGATGAGGAGATAATAAAAATGGCTGACAAATTCATGCCAGCTTCCTTTCCAATTCCCCTTTTCATTGCGTAAGGTGCGTCGCCTATGCACCCAGAAGTCAAGGGAGAGAGTGATTGTTCACCTGGTCAGCCTCATCCATTAGCCTGATGAGATACATGGAATTGGGAGAACTGTCAGACATTTTCTACCACAACCCATATCCCTTCCACAAGTAATATTTGGAAATCAATTCTACTGATCCCTGGTTAATCAGTTTATGGGTTAATTCTGGGCTAATTAGCAATTCTCACTCTGCTGTGGGAAAGAAAGCAATGTTAGCCTCAGGCAAGGGACAGGAGAGAAAAACAAGTGGGGGATTAATTTATGCCAAGAAAAGCAGGCTGCTATGGAAAAAAAAATAACCCTCTTTCCTTGTACATCTAACAACTGGCAACAAAATACATCAATTGATATGCTATTATGTAAAGTACTGCTGTTTAGCAACAATAATGGTAGGAGTAGAAATCTTCAAGGTGCCACTAGCCTTTGCTTTTGCTGCAAAAGGCAAATCGACTACAAAGAGTAATTATTCAGGATAATACCAAAGGTTCAGCAAGTCCAGCTTTCTTCTTCCTCAAATGATCAAGTACTTATGGAAAGCACACAAACATAAGGGAAAGAACTACTCCTGCTGTTCTTGCTGCTTAGCAACCAGCACTGAGTGTCATCATATCTAATAGATCTTTAAAGACCCTTTCTGCACAAATTTGACCATGCTACCACAAATTTTCCAGTTCTGAAGGCAGATGTGGTGCTCAGATGTATGCGATTTCTGTGGCTATTATGAGAATTCATATGGATTTAATTTAATATGTACTTAATTCCCATCATCTGTAAGAGCTACTTTGGAGGAGGTGTGGGATCCAAAGAAAAGATGAAGAATTTTTTCTTAAATTGGCCCGCTCCAGTGGACTACAAGACCAATGAGCCCCAGGCACACAGTCCTTCCCTCTGAGTTCAAGGTCCTAGCAATGCTACTGTCTTCTTCGGTTGTATGCTTTTCTGAACCCCTCATGACTCCAGAAATTCCCAAGCTCAGTCATGAGACATGGACGTATTCTGATTAGCAAATCCCCTCTCATTTTAGCCCCTTTTTCCCCTCCAGAATCTTCTGAAGGGAATGGAGGACCCTATTTACTGCTTACTCCTCCTTATCCAATTAGCTTTTTTCCCTTCAGAATAAATGCAGCAACGCCATGAACTTTTTTTGAAATACGTATTTAGACAGGTATCCAGATACAATGACCGCTTCTGAAATTTGGATTCCCTTGAGTGATCTTGCAACAATTGCCCCAAAAGATAAGCTGGACCTGCAAAGGAGAAAGAATTCATAGCCCCCAGAGACGTACAGTGTCCACTTAATGCCGATATTAATTTATACTATCTCTGGTAAAAAGACCAAGAATCAGACATCACAATTGAGGAATGACATTTGAACATGTGATCAAATTATTCTGAGATTCCAAAATAAACAACTTTTCTAATGAATTAATAAAAAGCACTGTTCCTTGCACAAAGGCCATGAAAAGATTTTAAGAAAAGCTTTTTCAAAACTTTGTTAATTAAGTGAGATATTTGATAAAGGAATTTTATCACTGGCATTTAACGTGGCTTATATTAGAACTGTACCAAAAGTAGACAAGGATCATACTCAGTGTGCTAATTAGCACCCTACGTTATGATAATGAGAAAAAGATTTTAATATTAGTGTCACCAAATAATTTATTTATTAACATTTATTAAACGCATTTATATGGCCACTCAACCCATGGCGACTCCAGGCAGCTTATACCATTAAAATTCTGCAATATAAAAAACGGTTAACCCCTTTCTTAACCTAATCAGAACTATAGAATGTAATGCCTAATTAAAAAAGATTCAACACTTTTTTTCTCATGCTAATTTGACTTTATGGGGAAAACTTTAAAAATTGGGATTTTTTTTGATATGGAAAAATTGACTGGAAGCAAGGATACTGACTTTGGATCAATTGGTAGAGGATGAAGTTGAATTTTCTTACTCTATGCTAATATCCAGCAGGTGTAACCTGATGACAAATTTACAGTTAGCAACATTGTTGGAGCAGCAGCATT